GAGCTGGTTAGGGATATCAGTTAGAAGTAGGAAATGAAAACAGAGGCAAGGTTTATGGGAGACGATGCCTCTGTGGGTATTTTATGGTCCGCATGGAAATTAATGCAAAGCGAAAGTTAGCAGTTTTTAACGCGACACCTCGAACTTTACCTGGACAAAAAACCCCGAAACTACGACTTCCGCAGCTTGAACTCAAAAATGAGTGTATATTGAGGGCCCAAAAATGAGTGTATATTGAGCAGCCAGTTTTCTCTCTGCACTCAGTTCCATGCGGAGTATAAACTAAAACCGTAGAGACATCCCTCTCCCTTAATGAACCGCGTCTGTGTTTCCATTTCTTACCTTTGACCGAGGTCTCAACTCCTTTCCAGTCAGTGGCCTCGCCTCCTCTCTACTACGACTCCCGAAATCTAAACCGTCACTCCAGACCTTACTCCTTTTTCCCTTCTTCTGCGCCTTCGCTCCTCTGCCTCCACCTCCAATCACTGCAATCTCACTTTCCAACTCAGCCAAAGCGAGCGCAGTTTTAGTAGTTGCCGAAAAAAAGCGTTTGAATTAATTTGTGGTCATATTCAGCTGGGAACGTTTTAAGCACTTTTTTTTGACAAATTTGTGTCAGGAAGGCAGCGGTTCGAGAGTTGTTGCAACACGAGTGTCGTAAGTCCGTGCAGAAAGGCTGCACGAGTCCTTCACCCAGATGCAATCACGCGTCGGATACCGTCTTATTTCAGGCTTTTTCTTCTGTCTAAAACTGTGAAACTTTTTTTAATTGTCATACCGTGGCAAGATTAAACTCTTTATACTACAGTGCTTTACCAGAGGGTAGGTCTTAACTTGCAGTGTGTAACCAGGACACCGTTCTCAACGTCCAGCTGTCAACACCCTACCGATTTTATTGAAAAGTATAATAAAAAAAAACGTATTTCTCATATTTGACATTTTTCGCAGATTTGGATCTTTTCCTATGTACGGCGACTACCACCGAACTGAAATAAGAAATCTTTTTTCTTTCCATCAACAAACATCAGACCTCTGGAACAACTTGGAGGCAGTACAGGCATTTCTTGCTGGGGTTGAAGGGGCAACGGTGAGACGCTTCTGTCGGTGTGGTGCTCCTGGGTTACCCAACCATTGATTTTATCTGATTTTGTTAATTGCTACGTATGTTGAGAACAAATATTAATGCAGTAATTGGATTCAAGAAATATTTTAATATTTTGACAAAATAGCACAAGGTCGTCGTGGTCCAGTGCTTGGCTCCCTAGTCGGACTTACTGAACTGGGCAACTAACTAAAAGTGTATCAGAATCGCGCCGATGTTCTTTCTGCGAAACTGCTGGATGAGTCGAACTGCTGAGCAGCTGCTGTTCGTGGCCTGAGCTACCAGTCCTGGCTTGAACTTCATTTCTGTTGCGTTTGGACAGCTAGCGCGAGTTGCTTCTGCATCGCGGCGCATCCGGCCAGGAAATTGTAACAAACCTACCATTCGAGTGGAGAGCTTTCTTTTTTGATCAAAATATCGACTTTTGTAATAAATTGCCTGAACGAAGCAATTCCCGGAGCGCAGCGTCCTTCAGTCGTTTTGCATTTTTTCGATGCGGCAGGCCGCCGTACACGGCCTCCCTCGCTCCCCACCATCTGTTCCATCCAATTTTACTCACTAATAATCCTGAAGATGCATAGAGGCGTGGCAGGATTCGCTGATATCCGACATCTTCACAGTTCAAACGCTTCGCGAGATCCTTATCTTTCCTCAATTTCAGCGAGGCAGGCCCGAGGGCAATGCTCGCATCGTGCCTACTCAGATTGATTCGTATCAGTTTATTCATCGAGTTAAAATGGTGGGAACATGCATTTCCACTCGATGCTGCCGTTTTATCATAAATTGTAATTTCGGTGATGGAATTGGTGTTGTTAAGCGGAACGGTGAGTGAGGTGTGAAGTATAAATCTAGAGAGACAACTACTTTCCAACATTTGAGTTGTAATACAGACGTGTTGCGTGGTAGCAATGGAACGAAGGATGCTTAGCGTATCTCTTCATGAAAATATAAATAATCAAACTCCCTGTCAGGTGGGTAGCGTACAAGATATCACCACGATTATGTGTGAAAAAAACTCGATGGACAGGGTATGTTGCGTGCTTTTTCGGCAGCCTGTGGACATTGCGCATCAGTGAGTGATGCCTGCGAGAAAGTACATGAACACTTGGTTGGATCCCGAAAGAGGTGGCGCAAATGCATCGAACATGTAGTTGAACATGAGAAATGTTGCCCAGGATCGAAGGAGCTGGCACAGCCGACGTTTGAGGGTGTTCAGTAACTTCATTAACATGGGATACCCATTCCTGATTGTCCAGACGATGCTGATATTTTTAGTATGTTGCGCGGTTATTATGCGTTTTTTACATCTATGCAGTGCAAAAACATTTTTTGTGTGATTCTGTGTGTATGTGTGTGTGTGTGTATTTCTTTGTCTGCGATACCTACAAAAGCTACAGCCTGGAACTTTGACAACTTGATCTGCGTACGGGCCCACACCCTCAAAATGACCGCTCAGATCTATGTGGTTCTCATGTACGTGCACGTGAAAAATTTCTTGGCGGAAAGCGATTTCGAGAACAGCGCAGGCTAGAAGGCCGAGACTTCACGAAGATTTTCCTTGCCCACGTCCAACAGAAAGATTTTAAATTCAGCCTTCACGCACTTCTAAGTCTCACATACATACATGTCAAAGTTTAAATTTTACCAACTGCAGAATTAAGCTAACCAAGGAGTTGTAGAGCACAGGTGGGCGACCGCGGTCCGCGGGCCGGATCCGGCCTGCGAAGGGAATCAGAATGTGGTTCCTAACTAAACGAGCGTAAGGTTTCTACTTCGCCACGCCACTGCACTCTCATGAAAATAAACAAATGGCCAGCTCACCGACTGCCGGTGTGAAGATGTGTTTTTTGCATAGTTCACCGCGGGTTTCTTTTGCTAACGGTACCGGTTTTTCCTGCAGATGCTTCTAGCTAAACGAAATGAGACTGGCTGCCAAGGCTGTCAGGAAATATCCCCTTGAAATTCTTTTAGCTTTTTAGGTTCCCAAGTTAGCAACTTACCCGAAAAAACTTTCCCAGACCCGTAAGTGGGATGCACGCATACTCGGTGTCTAGTTTTGAACTTGTTGAGACATAAGTGGGCAGGGAACACCCCCTTAATATTTCAGCTTCCTACTTTTCTGGTTCCCGAGTTAGCGGTTTACCCGTCAAAAACTTAGGCTAGCCCACGCGGGTAAGAGCGCCCATTTTAGGATGGGGACCCGTACATGCATGTAGATTAAGTTCCCAAAGTTTCGGCTCTGTAGCTTTTGTAGGTTTCGAGATGAAAAATCGGCACAAACGAACACACGGACACACACAGACCTCGTCAATATGCGTTTTCTGCATTGCATAGATGCAAAAAACACATCGACGCGCGCAGGGCAGCCTGTAAGATTATGCGTTTTGCGCATTTCCGTCCAGCGAACGTTTACCTGCTAAAGATTTTCACTGCTTTGTACTTTGTTTTTTGCAAAAATAGTTGAAATGTTGTCCGGTCGCTAAGTTGCGAAATTTCTCACGAAAAATTTCACGCACCGGTGCTTGAAAACTGGATTTGAAACTTTGGACGGTGAACATCCAAAATTTCGACTTCCTAATTTTTATGCGTTTTTGCATATATGCAAATTGCAAAAACGCATATTGGGAAGAGGCTGT